GGTATTGGGATATGTTGGCCGCATCCTCATGCACAACAACCCCTGGAAGAAGGTAGGTCAATATTGGAATACACTACGGCAACCATTTGAGTTTCCATAACTCACATTTCCACCACCCTAGGCTCCATTCATGATTCAAATATGCTGCCTCACAATCGGCCCGGCCTTCCTCGCTGCTGCTATCTACTTCTGCCTCTCGAGAATAGTCACAACATTTGGCATGTCCAACTCCCGTATTCCATCTGCCTGGTATCCACGGATTTTCATACCATGCGATATCCTCGCACTTGCACTTCAAGGCGCCGGAGGCGGGTTAGCCAGCACTGCCGACTCTGGCAGCAGCGACGCAGACCTTGGCAAAGACCTCATGATTGCCGGTGTTGTCTGGCAAGTCGTCGTTCTAGCCGTTTTTATTTTGCTTGCGTTCGACTTCGCTGTCAGAACTTTGCTCCGCATGAAGTCAATGGGCGCTAGCGCCCTCGATTCCAAACACGCTATGCTCCGCGCGTCATTATCATTCCGCGGCTTTCTTGTTGCCCTCTCATTAGCCACTTTCTTCATCTTTGTCAGATGTGTCTATCGTATTGCAGAGCTTTCGGGCGGCTGGGACGGCCACCTTATGAAAGACGAACCCCTATTTATTGCCTTGGAGGGTGTTATGGTGGGACTTGCTGTCCTAGTTCTCAATGCTTTTCACCCAGGGAGATGTTTTAAAGAAACCCCCGACGTTATTGATGAAGAGGAAAAAACCTTCAGTCGATGAGATTCTCTGCCAACAGGAGGGCTTTCCACAGAGACGAGTTTCATGATATATTAAGCATGGCTGAGTTTTTATTGGATGGTTTGGGTTTAAAGACCCTTTAGTGGAAACGAATTACGAATAATTGGCTTGGATTCTCTTGAATCTCCGGTCGGATGTGATCCTTCTTCTCGGGTCAAATCCTGCTGCTAATGCAATCGAATTCCGATGAGCGAATTCGAATGAGCAACTTTATCGTTTAAGCGAATACAAAAGCCTCTCATCGTCGTAAAGCAGGAAAGACCGCTCATTTTATAAAAAGAACTTCGCGCGGTAAACTTGTGAGGGCCGCCTAATTTGACAGCATCTCAATTTCATGCATGATTGTCTCCCGAAGGAATTTGGATTTGGATTTTTATTCTTTGACGGTATTCTTTCCTTTCAGGGCGTTTATATATGGGCTCTCTGAGCGATAGCGTTGTTGCAGTCCATTTTTCCATCTTATAGATTGTTCGGCAAGGTTCTTAATGGTCCATACTTGGATGTTGAATTTCTAAGTTGCTCAATTTGATGAGAATCTATCTGGAAGCCAGACACAATAAAATTATCAGTAGACATAGACCACCGCAAAATAGTATTCAAGGCAATGACATTTACCAATTCACCGTATACTAACTGATCCTTAAACCTTTTGCAATCAAAGAAAGTAAACGACCAAATCGGCTTCCTTTTCCCACGTAGAAATTTAAACTGATATGGCGGAATTCCCGGGAAGACATTCGACTACCCATGGCTGGGTTACAAAAATACTCACATACGATAGGAGAAGAATTAGAACCCCCTTCTTTCAAAATACATCGTTCCATCGGTGGTTGTCGGTTCACAGGTTATCACTGGATAATGAACCCAAACCTGACTTCTATAATCCAGTCAACCGCATTTTCCATGTCATAAATTGCTTTACCGAGTCCATCTTCATCTTCAGCGTCCCGGTCGGCGGCACACAATGTTCCCCAAAAGCTCCCATCATCGATTTTGGTGTTTTCCTTCCATGCAACGAATGGCATAGTTATCTCAATGTCTATCCCTAACCTCATTCGTTATCGGCATCGCATCCGCTAGCAGAAAAATTTCAGCGATGCACTCTGGGCCCTGAACAGCAGCTTGTGGAGTATTGTAACTACGGCCCAGAATGTCTTTTACATTCATGTCAACTCCCTTCTCAACGAGTAACCGGGGCCTCCCGTGACACCGCACGCAACATCAACTCTGAGATAGTATGTATGCATCTGCATATGATCAAACAACTCCCATAACTACAACAGCAACGCAAACTAGTTTCGCGAGCAGGCAGCAGAATCGAGTCCCCATCCTTGGATGACGACAGCCCCGGCCCGGAGCAATAACTACCTTTCCCATTGGTTTACTTGCATTCATCCACTGCCTTCTTCAATGGCGTAACTAATTATAAGTTCCCTGTGAGACGCATATGTTCTCAACGTCCTCCGAGAAATAACGCCAACGACCTCTTCGTGGCTTTTCACCCCACTGCCAGAGACAGTGGGGTGCATCCCCTCTCGTTCCTCAACTCGGCATTGGGCGCCACGTTTCAGCAAAGTAACTATTTGATCATCTCCACTTGTTCTTTAATTGCGGCAAAGTGTATAGGGTTATTACTGGCGGCGGGCCTTGCACGGGTAATTTATCTTGACGGAACGGTTGAACGAGCAAACGCGCAATTTCAGGATTGTTAAACAACGCCGCCACGGCTAATGCCGTCATCCCAGAATCTTCTAGCGGAGAATCAACTGCGCCGTTTTGTATTAATCGGGGTTGCCAAAATAGATTGGAGTGGGGAGATGCAATCCTTCTCGTATAGTTACGTCTTCCGCCTCGTTAGTAGATTTAACTTCGTTCTTCGGGTGTTCTCTCGCGGGTAAACGAGGATCAACCTTAAGTATGTCACTCACTACCTTTGTTGTTTGCTTTTTGAGATAGTTATCGATTGTTCTAAAAACTTCCAAAGGTATTTAATTATCCGTTTCCTTCTTTTATTTTGATAATCTAGCTCTCGTCATCCCGCAACTAATTCTGATGCTGGCAGGCCCAGGGAATTCCTGATTGATGTCCTTCTCTGCGCACTTGTGAGGCGTGGGACGATTCGAACTGATCAGCAGGGTCATGCGCCCGATTGGCCGGGCCGCCACTGAATTCAAGCAAGTTTGGTTGTCGTCTGTAGATAATTTCCTGCTCAAGAAATTACCCAGAGAGAGAAGGGGGAGGCACAGTATTGTACATGTACATACATACATATATTTAGGAGGCCAGATATGTAAGTGGATCACACCGCTTGTCTTCTCCGGTTTATTGACTCTTTCCGTAACTATCGTTCAACTTCTCCATAATAGTTCAACTGCTTGTTCGTCAGGTTAGGTTTTCAGATCTGACCAGTTCAAATCACTTTTTACGGCTAGTAGGAGACCAATTAAGCAAGCGATGGCCTACATGCTGTTACGTATGGCTGCTGTTAAACATCAAAACGGTCAGTTACAGTGAGCTCTCTTTCGCAAGAAAATTTCTGCCTCGCAGAACATCATGCCCGTAAACATACAAACAAACTGATCTGCGAACCAACTGACAACTAATGGCGTCCAGGATGTCTGCACAATATGTCAAGTATTCAAAACAGGGCTCTGGTATGAGAAGCGCCGAAATAGTCTTGGGTGAGCCGATGCTTTCTCGGTATTTATCTGTCTTCCTCAACTGCCAATAGCCTCACATTGGGTATGACTTTTCTTCGATAACTAACAACCAGTCCCCACTTGCTAGATACATGCTTTTTGACCGTGCCAAGTGTTTGGTTAGGAAGCCAGCTCTCCTGGATAGGATCAGCGTTAGCTCCCGAGGCTTCACCAAATCTTATGAACAAGTATTTAGTCACAAGGTATTGATTGCCAAGATTGCCTTGACATATTGTCTGGTTATAGTCGTCAACATGAACTAAAAGGAGCATCGTACGTCGAACATCAACGAAACCAAGTTAGAGCAATGGTAGCTAAAATATACCTACCATATTCTCGTACCAGCAGACTTCAGCCGATAAATCCTGTCCAGTGAAGGAGATTTGCCTGTAGACTTTTCAAACAATCAACTCCATTACTAAATGCATGCAACGGGTTAATGGTTTTTTCATTTTTATTTTTATAATTTACTTTTTTTTTAAATTAGATATGCCGTTGGTTAGTTGCCTACGTAGATTACAGCAGAAAGTGTATCGTGCAGAAGTTGTTCAGTGGCTGGAGTTGCCACATAGGGGTGAGGAAACTTACAATGTGATGATCACTTTTGCCAAAACACAGAGGAAAACAAGAGAATGGATGTATGCAATAATGCATCCGTAAAATAATTGCTTGGCCAATCTCCTGGTATCCGTAGATAGCAAGGCAGAACTCGATCGGTATGGAACATAAAATAAAAGTCTCATTACTTTAGCGATTAACTCTAGCTGAGTAATGGGTTATGTAGAGCGGAAATTCGTGTAAGTTAAGAACGGGAAGAAAGTGAGGAAATACAGATAACTCTAAACGCGGGAAAATGGACAGGTACAGCTGAACCGAAAACCAAAAACATGCAGTTGTAACAATTGAGAGAAAACAAGATCAAAAACAACCATACAGAATTGATGCGAAGGACAGCCTTTCAAATATTAGTGAATGGATCCGGTCCCGAATGCTTCGAACATAAATCAAGAAAAATAATAAAACAATGGCGAAAAGGAAGTGGGAAAAAAAAAAGTAAAAAAGAAAAAAGAAAAAAAGAAGTAAAAAAGAATAAAAGAAATCGAAAAGGAAGAATCGCGACAGGGATGGAAAATCTGAAAAATCCCGAGTCTGTGGGTAGAATCACAAACAAACAGAAATAAGAAAAGAAAAAAAAAAAAAAAAAGGTGAAGTAGAAGAACAAGTAGAAGAAGAAGAAGAAGGGATAAAAGGTCTTAGATCCAGGCGAAAAGAATCAAAGAAGAGAAAAAGAAAAACTGATCTCTTGCATGGAAGTAGGACCCTGTCTGCAGAATCAGCCAGCCTCATGCCGCAACCCACCAATGATATTGGCTTCGTCATTCACCATTTCACGACACGTTGTGGGAAAAATTCATCAATTAGCTCGAGGTAATACGGCTAAAGGGTTGGATATTTGTTAGTAATTTATGATTGACTATCCTTTGTTTACTGAAGGGGGAAACTGCGCCGAATCTAGGAATTTATGCACCGAAATCCTATTGAGAGTAAAAAAAAAAAAAAAAAAAAAAAAAAAAAAAAAAAAAAAAAAAAAAAAAAGGGGAGAGAAGGGGGGGGGAGGGAAAAAAAAATCCGTACCTTAAGCTCTTCAATATTGGGAACCTCATCCGTTTTGCTATAAAGATCGTACGGATTGAAAGCCTTGACTGCCTCAAGCATACGGTGGTCATCTTCGTTCATCAGGTGTCGATATGCACCTGCAGAATGCCAGGGGTAAAAAGAATGATAGCGAATCATAGCCAACGCCTCCCGAGGAAGAGTTGATTGAGATTTCACGATGTTATACAGGTACTCATCATGCCCCCACGAGAGCATGATATTGTCAAGGCCACAGTTAGGGTAATAAATGCCGAATTTCGTGCCATAAATTTCGTTTCCAAAATCGGGATTGTTGGCAAACGTGCCCGGGAAGATGATTCGCTCGTCAAAGGCGCATCCAACAGGGAATGTATCTCCAACCACATCCCATTGACCTTGCGCATCAAAGAAAAAAAGTAGCTTCCCCAAATCATGAACCAAACCCGTTAGTTGCATCCATCGTGGTTTTCCGTCACGTCTGATGGCTTCAGCTGATTGGAGAAGATGTCCAATTTGAGAGAGGGATGTATCCGGGTCGGACTCGTCGATTAGCGTGTCGAGTTTCTCAATTGCTTCCCAGACTGTCATTTCTGCCCGTACTTTGAATCGGAGTTCATTCCGAACTTTCAGATTGTAAGCAACCGTTTGCTTTTCATGTTGCTCTCGATAAAACCTTTTCACCCTGTCGCATGCCGTCTCGTATTGTCGGAACTTGGACTTGTCTTTGTCTGCTCCGAATTTAGGCTCGTCGTACGCAGTGGTCTCTTGGAGTTCTAACTTCAGGACATTGACAGTGTCAATATCATCTGACACCTTTTCCAGGGAAGCACCATCGCGCTTAATATCGGCTGTGGAGACATTGGGCGTTGAAAGTATCATAGTGGTCGAGGGATAGGTTGACAGTTAGGAGGCAAGTAATGAGACTAGGTGAATCAACTTCACGAGGATGAGGGGCGTAGAAGAAGAAGGCAGGGGGAAGTAACATAGAAGAATGAAACTCGTAAAGGTACTGTAGCAAGTTTGTTAATGCGAAGAAGCATCAGAAAGCGTGGTCTAAGAGGAGATATGAGGGTATATATACACCTATGTACGTTTGTCTAAAAAGCAATGCAGGTAACATTGAGGAGGATGGAAGAAATGCCAATTGACAGCAAAACATTATCTGCAAACACAGTCACAGTGAAAGATAAACTTAAGCCAAGTTTCGAAAAAGCGGCTGCCCTTTCGTTGAAATATCTTTTTGCACGCTTTGTTGCAGACAGACCCTGCATCATTTCTTAATTTATTGCGCCGCACTCAAGTAGTACTGCCAATGAAACTTCAAGACCATCCAACGTCAAAAAAGGCACAGGTGACGAAGGAGGGATAGAAAAGGAACATAATAGAAAAAGAAATGAGAAAGAAAATTAAAGAAATTTCAGATAAATCTTGGTTTAGGTTCATCTTGGTAGATCCATGGCAGATCCAGGAACAAGTGTCAAACTGTGACGATTATCGAAGGATGCACCGAAGCTCTGAGAATGTTACCCTGGCAAATAATAGTGCAGAAATAAAAAGCTTTTTCTTCGAAAACAGTGCTGATCGCGGATAGCGACATAAAGGATTGCACAGCTTTGTTCTCCCGCAGGCATCCTGCATGAAAAACAGCCGAAATGCATGCAGGGACGTTGGGGATAGGTAAATATTTACCGCCTTAATTGATATTCGAGAGTCATGGGATTCCATCAAACTATTATACTTTGGGCCGGATAACCGTTATTTTTTTATTTTTATTTTTTTTTCTTTCCCTTTTCTCTTTATAATCAACTAATGGCACCAAATTTGACTCGTTTACTTCGTGAAGCCGTTGGTAAGCGCAGGGAAAGAGCGGTAAGTCTGTTAACCGTCACACAGATGTACCCGAGATTTCAACAATGTGTGCGAGATAAGTTACATATATCGAGGGCTAAAGGGTCCGTATGTATCGCAAAACCGGGATGGACACCGCAGCATTCCGCATATTATTCATTACACGGTAACGTGGCTCGGGCTCTTGGCTGTTGCGCTGGAGAGATCGAGACCATACTTTCTCAGAGAACAAAGACATCCACGGGCCACCAATGCCATCCCGGAAAATGCAACAAATTTAGGTAGACGGTGTAAGAGATTTATATCGTTTCCAAATGACGCCCGGCATAACGGGAGCAGATTCGGTCAGGGGTAAAAGAGCACTCCATGGCAAAGATTTGATATCGGCAGGGCGAAAATCCATGCAGGACGGCGGGATGCGTGGCTCAATGTATTCTGACAATTCAAATAGAGCATGATCCCGAAAAGTGAGGCACCTCAGACGCAAAAGTCTCTCTGGTGCATTAAATATTTTTTGACCATTGCGCTTCCTGGGATCACTGTCAAACGTAACAAGCTTGTAAAATATTTGTCGGGACCCGAAAGGAGTTACCCTGCGCGTCGATATTGGTCATTCTCGAGAAGTCTGCAACCATATTGAATTTGTCCCACTTTGCACAGCTTCTTATTCTCTCCCACTTCAGGAACACATGATAGAACTTCGGGACTGCGATAGTAGACAGGTCCATTCAAAAACCACTTACCAACACGCATGTCAACCCACCTCCCTCCTCCCCATAGTAAACTTTGAATCCCTCCTAAAACTTCTTCCGAATGGTAATCCCTTAGCCAGCGCCCTTAAAAGTTCAATTCAATTTGACGTATAGTTTTTTTTTTTCTCTCTCTCAATATACGATGGTAAAAACCACTCCCGGCCATCATCCCAGTGTCGACACTTTCTTTGTGCACCCGCAAACATGCCCTCATAGCTGATGGGTCCTCTATGAACAACATCTTCGGCAACAGGCATTATTCCAACAAGTTTCTCTTGGATTGGCAGGAGTGAAGTTTTCGAATGCCCTGGGTCTTCACCTAGTGAGTAATTAATAGATCGTGGCGTTAAAAAAAAAAAAGCCGAACCATTCCTGTAGGTGTTGCCGGATTTGGCACACGGATTTTACCACGCGCAAGGTGTTTGGTATGTCAATGGTGATGTCATCATGGGAATTCAGTAAGCTGCTGCAATAAGAGATTGGTAACGTCGCTCAGATCTCCGCCAACGTTTGCAGTTATCCTAATTTGATTTTTTTTTTAACGATCCCGATAGGATAGATAATTTTCGGGGCGGAGAGGAGCTGAGATGTCATCATCTTATCCCTTTGTATCAAAATCCAGCCGTTTGACGTTCCGATATTGGTAGTTTTGTAGGAAGAGGCAATCGATTTTGTCCTACTGGGAAAAATCATCAAAATCCGCTTTGTTTAGATCTCCTAGCTACCCAATGCAGAATTCGCGAAGCTGCTCTCACTGGACGGAGAGGGATGTTGTAGAAATAGTTGGTGCATTTTATGCCCACGTGGCTGGTTTAATATGATACTTCATGAAGTGCGTATCACAGTTGTCTGACGAAGAACCCCGGGGGGAGTATCTTCCGTTGGCCGGCGCATTGGAAGAATGGAGGTGATATGAAGTATACCTGGTTGACGGGCTCTGAGGTAAACCAGGCCTCAGAAGTGAGAGGTGGAGGATATTGGCGATCTGAAGAAACCAACCTGTCAATAACGACAAGATCAAGGATAACGAATGAGATGCCACTGCAACTAGATGGCTCCTCGCCACCGTTGACTTCTAGGGAGTATAGCTCATGATACTCCGCAACTAGCGAAGCCATGACTCTCCGCATTGCCCGCCGCTCCGAGGACCAGGTCCGGGCTAAATAATTCACGGGCATGTCCTGTAATATCAACGGCTATCCTCAACCTTAGGAGACTAATGAGCCGGCACTCGAGGATAGATTGAACCGAACCGGCCGCGTGTGCCTGTTTGCCAACTTGCGTAAGTTTTGACCATGTTTCACCCGACAATCGTCTTCCCCGCAGTCGAGGCACGCTCAAGAAAAATAATGGTGACTTTCTTTGAACAGTCACCAGTTGATGGCGCTTTGGCAAAGTCTGAATGAAATTCAGTCAACAGATGTTTGTTCCCCTTAAAAGTGCTTGTTCTGTGTGCAAGAACTGTTGAAATACGTAGATGACTCGCGCTCGATCAAGCTTGGAACGGGAATGGCATGGATGTTGCTGACAAGGCTGGACAAAGGGGATTGTTGCCCTTGCATGATTGTAATTGTTGCTTTTTAGTTCATGGTGTTTCCGAGCATCTGGAGGCCGTGATGTTTGCCTTGATGAACGCGCAGCTTCTAACTGGAGCAACGCTAACTCTCGGATCGCCTCAACAAGCCGACTCTGCGGGAAATATCAAGCGCCATTCTCAGTTACGTTGCAACCACGCGAGGCGAGATGTTAAAAGGCATAAACGGCGTATATAAACTATCCTTTCCCTCCGTTCTGGCTCAACTGTAACTTGGCCTTCATTCTAGACATATGTAAGAACACCCACGACCGTTCTGACAATTATTATTACTATAATTATTTTTTTTAATTAATTTATTTACTTCTTTTTGGTTTATTTATTTTCGAGCTGGTTGGCCCCCCAAAAGCAACGACCTGGGTGTCGGTCGCCCCTCGCAAAGGATATATGACACTTTTTGGCGTTCGGTGGAATTTCAACCCGGGCCCTTTCACGAGCAAAGAGCATACGGTTGTTACGGTATGCTTCTCTGCTTCGATGACTCGTTAGAAACCGGGCACTTTGCTGATGATTTTCTTTTCGCGGCTTGTGGCCAAGTAAGCAAGCACAACATGAGAGCTTTGCCATATCCAAGAGGTAAAGTAAAATAAACATAACCTAGTTACTGAACAACAAACAGCGTATGCAGACAGCAACGTTGACTATCGATTCGTTTCTCGCACACAGGGGAAATCGTCAGGACTCTTCACCTCACGAATAGATTTGTCCCTTCTTTTCTAGAGAGAGTATTGTGTGTTACCTTTTCCGTGACCACTTCACCCAAATGTCGAATTTCCCAGTGGGTGGAGTAATAGGGTAACCCATATATTGATGAAATTTTTGGTAACTTGAGTCTGGTCTCAGTTTTCATGGAAGCAACTCACTCCGTCAGTGAGGCAGGCTATCATGGCTGCTCTAGAAGAACCAGCGAAAAAGTTGTAACAATTCCAGGAGGGGCTTGTCAAGCCACATATGAGAGAACTGACAATCAAACGTTAACTGCAGATCGTTGGCGCTGACTAAACCGATTATGGTTCGGAAGTGTGGCCAAGATGCAAACGTCACAAAAACTTCGCCAGCAGTTCCATAGCCGGGTAGCTTCCCAAGTTCCAACATCCATCTTTCTTGTCGTCAACCAACGTCGGCAGATGCGCAAGTGATTACCATGGATGGATTTGACGAAGAAACGTTTAAAAAGTTTTTTCCCAGTGGTTTTGGGAAGCGGGACAAGTCGACTAATATAGCAGCACAGATTGATCGGACCAAACGAGTCGAAGCCGGGTCAAAGTCGCCAGCGGCGGTGCTCGGGGAGAAGAAACCCTTAGGGGTCCTTGATGATAATGATGTAGAGAAAACGGGACCTAGAATTGACAAGGGTGGTTCAAAACAAGATGGAAATCTAGCTTCGGACGCAGACTCAGATAGTTCGGATGAATCTGACGAAGATGAATTCCCGACTTCACACGATCTTACTTTCAAGACACATGACCGTGCTGTCACGACAATCACCCTTGATCCCTCCGGGTCGCGAATGATAACTGGCTCCACAGACTGTACGATAAAGCTTCACGATTTCGCCTCTATGACACCCACCACTCTCCGCGCATTCAAATCAGTGGAACCGTCAGCTAAGAAGCAGTCCGCGGCTTCGGAAATCCATCCGGTCCACGTTGCCAGATTCAACCCACTTTATCCGAGCCAAGTGCTAGTCATTTCCGCGACCCCGCAAGCCAAAATCTTGGATCGCGATGGCGATACGATTGTGGAATTTGCCAAGGGTGACATGTACCTTCGAGATATGCGCAATACCAAGGGGCACATTTCTGAAATCACGAGTGGGACGTGGAGCCCTTCAGACTATAATCTGTGTGTTACGGCGGGGACGGATAGCACGTTGCGGATATGGGATGTCAATGCGGGGAGGTCACAGAAGGAAGTTATTGTGCATCAGTCTAGAGCGGCCGGGTCGGCGGGCAGAACTCGAATGACCGCGGTAGCTTGGGGTTCCCCAGCGCAGGGAGGAAATAATTTTCTTGTCGCCAGTGCACTCGATGGAAGTCTAGTGATGTGGGGTGGCAATGGGCCGTTTACGAGGCCAAGCGCTCAGATTCAAGGTGCCCATACGAAAGATGCTTGGACAAGCGGTCTGGATATCAGTCCCGATGGCAGATTGGTTGTCACCAGAGGTGGCGACGATACCATCAAACTGTGGGATACGAGAAAATTTAAAAATCCCATCACAACAGTACCGCACCCGTCTGGGTCTAAATATTCTCACAACGCAAATATCATGTTTTCTCCTAGTGGGGCAAATATCGTCACAGGTAGTGAAACTGGGGACCTGCATATCCTGAATCCTGCAACACTAAAACCTGAGCTTTCCACATCCGTGACGCCAGGCTCTCCACTTATTGCCGTCCTTTGGCACGAGAAGCTGAACCAAATTATTGCGGGCTCTGCAAATGGAGAAACCCACGTGCTATATAACCCATCACTCTCCCACAACGGTGCTGTGCTTGTCATGTCCAAAGCCCCTAAGCGGAGACACGTCGACGACGACCCAAATTTCACCACGGACCTGTCCCTCGGCCTGTCCGCAGACAGCACGACTGGCCAAATCACCTCCGGTGCCTCCTTCTCCAGTCGACATCCAACAATCGGACTCACTGCCTCAGGACGGTCTAGGGATCCTCGTCGGCCGCATCTGCCCAGTAAGACCCCTTTTGCAAATAGCCAGCCGGACGAAAAACATATAAAGGAAAATATCCCACTCAGCTCGATGAGAGACGAAGACCCACGAGCAGCACTGCTGAAATATGCAGAGCAAGCGGAGAAGGAGCCAGTGTTTACGAAAGTATGGCAGGAAACACAGCCTAAGCCCATTTTTGCGGAGTTGAGTGAGGAAGAGGACGAAGGGGAGAAACCCGAGCGGAAGCGTGCGAGGCGTGATTAGAAGGATGACAGTTTATTTTTTATTTTTAATTTTTAATTTTTTTTTTGTTTTTTGTTTTATGTATGTATTTTTCTGTCATTTTATCCCCCTTCCTGACCAGATAGATTTTATGGCGACAGGCGTTTCTTTTCTTCATGTGCATCATGATGATATATAATTTTATCACTCCTTTGGTTTACGGTGTGGTGGATGGTATGCATGTTGCCAACGATGGATGCATTTTCACTTGTAATAAAACAAGATACCCGCTTCAATGAAAAAGATTATTGTTTCAATTTGTTGAGAGCAGGTCCTCAGGTTAGCCGTAGATTTATTAACATTTGAGAGCTTTGCTGACTTGCATTGAGATCATTTTAACAACATATTGTTATATTTTGAATATAATTAAAAAATATATATTCATTAGATAGAGTAGACCATATTAAAACCTGTATTTCATTCAAAAAACTGAGAGGATAACTAAATTGAGCGGATTAAAATATGGAAGATGGAAAATTTAAATTGTTTGAATTAAGAGTAGTCTGATGAATTTCATATTATTAGCAATAGACATAATTTGCACCTTTCTTAGAAGTTTGCGGGGGAACATGCATTGTAGGGTTAAAATTCACGTACGTTTGCATGTAGTTAGTGGTCTGTGACGTTATTCAGTTAAGTTAATCAATCAGTGGAGAGTCCATGGATGAAGCCTCGTCGTAACCCGCCGCCAACTCTTCAAGGCTGGGCAGTCTTGTCTTCGGAACAACAACAACTGCCATCAAGCAATGGGTCAAGTGGGAATTATATTAACCAACGGACTCAAGAAAACCATCGTTCATTCGTCCATGAAAAAGCAGCCAAAAGCAAGCAGCCAATCGGAGATAGCTGCTTAGTTAGGGAGAAGAAAAGTTGGCTGAATATCTTTCCTCCGCCCTTCAGCCCTCTACATCGTCGTATTCATCCTTGCACTTCCAACAGCTTTCATCATACGGTCGTTCGAGAAACAGTACAGGGTAATGTTTCCTACGTTGCATATGGTAGCTAGGAATCTTCGAACTTACCAATGAAGGCGAAAATAATTGCACAAACACCGTACAGCTTACGCGAACGCCGCTATTCACAATTTCCAACTATCCCAGACTGCCAGCTAATGGCTGGGTGGAGATTGCTGTGGTAATCGTCGCGATCAGCTCTCTAGCCAATCTCGATATTGCAGACGTTACAAATGCAAAGCTCTCCCTGGGGAAAGGGGTAAAGCGATCACGACACAGTCCAGGTGGAAAGACCGGGCTTTTGCTCGAAAAGAAGCTGGAGAAGGATTCGAGGGGAACAGTTGATATATCTTGCCTCTCGGTTCAGGTTCCTCTTGTCCCAAGTCCTCAGGTCCTGAATATCAGAAAGGGCGCGAGATGGTAAGAACCAGGGTGCTGATAACCTGCATCTCCAGCCTTCTCTTCCGCGTTGCCTTCTCTAAGCCGCTATCTCCGCCTGCGATTAATATATTCCGAAGTGGAAATAGTGGGAATGATGGTGGAGATAATGCGGGTGATGGCAGTGGCAACGGTGGCGGCGATGCTATAAGAGAATGGTCGTCTACGATAGGCATTGTTACGGCCATCATTGGCAACATTTTGATCTCCTTCGCTTTGAATATCCAACGCTACGCACATATA